GCCTCACCAGTGCCCAGTACTGGGGGATAATCCCTACCCTGGTCCTGCTGGCCGCAGTGTTCCTGATACAAGCCAGGATGCAGTTGGCCTTCTTGGTCACCTGGGCACACACCGGCTCATGTTCAGTTGTTGTCAACCAACCCCCCAGGTCCTTTTCCTCTGAGCAGCTTTCCAGTCCCTCGTCCCCAAGCCTGGAGCATTGTGAGGGGGTTGTTGTGGCTCAAGGGCAGGAGCCAGTACTTAGCCTTGTTGAACCTCCTCTGGTGGCCTCGGCCTATGGATCCAGCCTGTCTAGAGCCTTCTGAAGAATCTTACTGACCTCAGGCAGATGAACTCTTCCACCTATCTTGGTGTCATCAGAAAACTTACTGAGGGTGCATTCAGTCCCTTGTCCTGGTCATTGATAATGGCAATAAACAGAACTGATCCAACCCTGAGCCCTTGGGAAAATGACTTGTGACCAGTTGCCAACTAGATTTAACTCCATTCACCGCCACTCTTTGGGCCCAGCCATCCAGCCATTTTTTTTACTCAGCAAAGAATACACCCATCCAAGCCATGAGTAGCCAAATATGGTGTGCATAAACTCCTCTGCTGCACACATGGTCAAGTCTCATACAGCTCCATCCCTTACTGTTGTTTGACAGTCACTCCTGATCCTTCATCTCCTCTGCCTTTTGAACCCTTTTTAATACATCCACATTTAGCTTCCAGGTTGCCCTAAGGACTTTCCTCAGTATTTCTACTCAGATCATGTTCTGATGGTAGGGAAGGGGCACGGTACAGCATACGGACACTTGACTAGTTTATGAGAGGTGACACAAGATAGTCGACAGGGAAGAGCTAAAATATAATGAACATTTTGCGGAATAGAAAACCAGCCATAACACGCTACTGGTACTCTGTGTTTTCAGGTTCATGTCTGGTCCTCAGTGGTTTCAGAAGAAAGATTATTTCAAGTTTCTCTGAAATTACACTGTCATTTTGGAATAGCAGAAAATATATTATCTGGGAGTCAAATAGAAAACTTAACTGTTGACTTTTTACAATATCGAGCTATACTGATAAAGAAACTCAAGTGAAAATAGAAACCAACATTATTTTTTTATCTGAATTGCTGAAGCCTTTCATTATAAAAATATGTATTTCAAGATCAAGAAAATGAGACAAAGTCTTTGTGAACTCATACAGAGGTTGCTGCTACGTAAAGAAATACACAAGCACTTTTTTCTCCAGCCTGCATCATTTTCCACCAGAAGATGGTCACCTTGAATCTTTGTTTTGTCTGGCCTTCCTGAGAGCTGAAATATTATAGTAGTTTATCACCACTGT